TGTGTGTGTGTGTGTGATTTTGCTGAATACAAATGGGAATTGTAAATGCAAATTAGCATTTGTGTTGTATTGTGAAAAAGTTGGATTTAAAAAATCTGGTACATTTGCTGTTACATCTTTAATATTATCTGTGATGACAACTGTAGGGTGTTCTTGAACCAGTTTTATATACATCTCAAGGTAGATTCCCAAATGTACACCCGCAGTGTTTTCATAGTGAACATAGTGAGTCCCAAGCTGAACTTAAAATGTTGCCAGCACAAAGAGCCTTGAAAGCAAGGGTAACACACAAGTATCACACCTAGTACTAATATTTTGTGACTTTTTCTGATGCTCATTCCAATAGAAAGCTTTCTTGAATTGTACTACCCTCTGTTGGCACAAATGTTTGCTCACTACTACTATTGTGACTCACACTTATTATTACTGCATACTAACATGCAAATGATCATGCAGCAACCCTTCACCAATAGGATACTTACCTCTCTCACATTTCCCACCCATCCTTCTTATTTTTGGTGTGAATTGATTGGTTAATTATAACCAATCTCGAAGTGATTAACATGTGCATGATTAGAGATGCCGTACAGTAAATTTTCTGATATAGTGTTTAGTTTTAAATTTACAGTTTTATATATAACAGTTAATGGTAGCGGTTATTCTTATTATCCACAGTGCTCGATTTTTAACACTGGCAACCCAAGTAGAAGACTTTCAAGTTACCAATGAACCTGTTCTAGAATACTTGAAAGGAAGTGCAGAACGAAAAACCTTGGAGACTGCCTTAAATAAGTATAAGAATGATTGTCAGGATATTCCAATAGTTGTTGGTAATGAAGAAATTCGTAAAGGTGATGTCAAGTATCAAGTTATGGTAAGTAATCTTTTATTATATATGGGGTTTTAAAGTCCTTTTTAATCATCAATAAAGTAACTTAAAATATTTTAGGTGTATGAATAATGTTGTGACTTGTGCCTAAATCATTATTGTATATTATATATTTATCGGACCAACTATTTAATGATTATATGTATATATATGTTACAGATTTGTTTTTTCTTTTTCGCCTAAGGCAAAAATTGAAAAAGAGTATCTGTAATGTAGAGGACCTAATTCTCTACTTT